AGGCCCCAGCGGCAGGGTTTGCATGCGTACCCCCGCCCAGGTCGGCACACCTGGCTCCATAGGTGGCTCCACCGAAGGCCCCAGCGGCAGGGTTTGCATGCGTCCCCCCGCCCATTTCGGCACATACCTTACGAGGACCGTGGCACCACAGGGAGCTCTACCGAAGGCCTCAGCGGCAGGGTTTGCATGCGTCTCTCCGCCCATTTCGGCACACCGTTCCCGAGGATCGTGGCCCCATAGGGAGCTCCTCCGAAAGCCCCAGCGGCAGGGTTTGCATGCCACCCCCGCCCCTTTCGGTACACCCCTCCCGAGGATCGTGGCCCCAGAGGTAGCTCCACCGAAGGCCTCAGTGGCAGGGTTTGCATGCGCCCCCCCCGCCCATTTCGGCCGACCCCTCCCGATGGTCGTGGCCCCATAGGGAGCTCTACCGAAGGCCCCAGCGGCAGGGTTTGCATGCGTTCCCCCTCCCGAGGATCGTGGCTCCATAGGTAGCTCCACCGAAGGCCCCAGCGGCAGAGTTTGCATGCGTCCCCCCGCCCATTTCGGCACACCCCCCAGGAGGATCGTGGCCCCATAGGGAGCTCCACCGAAGGCCCAAGCGGCAGGGTTTGCATACGTCCCCCCGCCCATTTCGGCCCACCCCTCCCGATGATCGTGGCCCCATAGGGAGCTCCTCCGAAAGCCCCAGCGGCAGGGTTTGCATGCGTCGCCCCGCCCATTTCGGTACACCCCTCACGAGGATCGTGGCCCCATAGGGAGCTCCACCGAAGGCCCCAGCGGAAGGGTTTGCATGCGTCGCCCCGCCCATTTCGGTACACCCCTCACGAGGATCGTGGCCTCATAGATAGCTCCACCGAATGCCTCAGCGGCAGGGTTTGCATGCGTCTACCCGCCCAGTTCGGCACACCCCTCACGAGGATCGTGGTCCCATAGGGAGCTTCACCGAAGGCCCCAGCGGCAGGGTTTGCACGCGTTCCCCCTCCCGAGGATCGTGTCTCCGTAGGGAGCTCCACCGAAGGCCCCAGCGGCAGGGTTTGCATGCGTCCCCCCGCTCATTTCGGCTCACTCCCCAGGAGGATCGTGGCCCCATAGGGAGCTCCACCGAAGGCCCCAGCGGCAGGGTTTGCATGCGTTCCCCCGCCCATTACGGCACACCCCTCACGAGGATCGTGGCCCCATAAGAGGGTTCCACCGAGAGCGGTGCCCACAACGCGGTACTCACAGCTGCATGCGGTTGGGTCCTTCGCCAGGATGATTTTTGTGGTGTTGTATTTTTTGTTCTGGTTTTCTTGCTTTCGGCGGCAGAGGAGGGATCCGTCCAGGCGCGCGCAGGGCGATGCCCCCGCCGCTTTCCAGCAGATGTGCCGCGGGGTGCCCGACTCGTCGGGACCGGCCCTTGGAGAGCCGAGGAGTGCGGCGCGTGTGGCAGGATCCCTGGCGCAACCAGGAGCACTCGATGCGGATATCCCCGCGTGTGCATTCAGTTCCTGGCGCTTCCGTCTGTGAGTGTCTGAGTGAGAGGAACTGGGCCCGCGGCTGAATGCGATCCCTGTCGGCTCACCTGTGGAGCACCCAAGTGATACGCCTGTTGCATCGGGATGCTCTGGGGGCATTTTTGAGGCCTCCTGGCGCCCTCATGGGGGCATCTGGGGGTGTCATCGGGGTGTCTGGGGGGCCTTTGGGGACACCTTGGGGGCCTCTTGGAGGTCTCTTGTGGACCTCTTGGAGGCTTTCTCGCAGGGTGGGGAGCCGCCTGTCAGGACATAGTTTCGAAATTCAGTTCGGGTTCCTCTTCTTCGGACCCTCGCTGGGGGTTCGGAGGCTTTTTGGGAGACCTCTTGGGCCGTCGTCGGGCCCTCTAGGCAGGGGGGTCCAGCGCGGATCCGAGAAATCCGCGCGAACCTCAGAGTATTTGTATGTTATTCTTCGTTTCCTTACTGGGGCCGCCTCGTGGCCTTCCTGGGGGTGTCTTTGCCAGTTGTTGTTGTTCTCTCTTTTCTCTCTGGTTCATTTCCCAAGCAGTTCTTGCACTGAAGGCTTCTTACTTTTCTTTTTACAGTGGAGACCCTTGCTAAGAAACACTCTGCTCGCCTCCATGGTGCCCTGGGTTTCTTGGTTTTCGATGGTGCTGCCGTGGGAAGCGTGGCGCTCCCACACCGAACATCGATGGACATCCTGGGGTCTCAGGACTAGGTTTCCCGTGGAGGGTTGCTTGTGGTCGGGCCCCTACTCTGAGGAATCGCGCCCGTCCTTTGGCCCGGCGGTCCCGTGCCCGACTGGTCGCCGCGCCACACAGGTTGCACCACGCACAGCTCACACCACGCAGACTGCACCACCACGCAGCTTGGGTCACGCGGCCTGCACCACACCTGCTGCGCCGCGCAGCCTGCACCACGCAGCTTGCGCCACACAGTTTGCACCACGCAGGCTGCACCATCCAGCCTGCACCCCATAGCCTGCACCACGCAGGTTGCGCCAAGCAGCTTGCACAGCGCAACTTGCACCACGCCGATTTCACTATGCAGAAGCGCCACGTACATGGGTCCACATAGCTTGCACCACATAGCTTGCAGCGCATATCTTGCGCCGCATGGTTGCACCTCATAGCTGACATATTATAGTGCAATAGTCTGCCGTTTGGGGTTCACGCTAGTCAATTTGCTCGATACCCTCACCGGGATCGAAGAGCAGCTGCGTATTCGGATTGTTTTAATCGTTGGGATGTTTCGGTGTTTCGTATTTCTGATAAGTTCGACGTGCTCCCTCCTGTGTGGGTAATGCGTTCCCTGTGAAGACCGAATGCAGGCATCAATACTTGAATCGATTACTCGCTCGTTCTCTGCCCGTCCTCACTCGTTCACATTCCTCTTCCTTGTCCTGTTCTCATTATGCTTCTCATCTCATCACCGCCGCCATTTACCAGACGCGAGAAGATGCTGAGCTCAAATGTGCCAGAGAAAAACTCAGGCCACATAGTGCCCTGTACGCTGCAAGTAATGCGAGTCTGTTCGAAGCAACGCAACGCAACAGAGGAGAGATTGAGAAATGAACGCCAGTGCAAAGAACACCAGCGCAAAGAAATTCTCACTTTCAAGCAAACAACTAGTTTGCAATGCGCAGCAAATTCATGTTGCGTCAAGGCAAATCAACGCAGTGTAACACCGTTCCGAGCAAAGCAGTGCAAAGAAACATGAGGCACATAAAGCAAGATGCTCTATGGTCCGAGCCTGTTACGGCTCTGGCTGTTCTTGATGGATCCCAGAGCTTCTTCTATAGAGCAGGAATGACCTTTGATGCTGTGCAGTCGACGCTCGCCGCCGGAGTGCTGGCCCTTGCAAAATTGGGTTGCGTCAGTATTGTAGCCTGTGCAGAACGTAAGATTTGGTGATGTACATAACGTGTATATTTGAACAGTGTGCGCCACCAAGAAACATAGAGTAATACAACGCAGTGCTCTGCGCCGTTTCGCACCCGCACTGCGCTTCGACGCAGAACATTGATGGTCATCTCATCTTGTTTGTTCTGAGCTCCACCCTGTCTGTAGTCTGATTGAACTTGTCAGTACCCTGGCACTGCGCAACAGTAAGAACAATCGTCGTTCGGGTTACCCAGCAAACCTCACCCGTCAGTCAGCCTTGTCCTTTTGTGCGGGAGCGCCGGCATTTTTCTGTCCCCGGCGCACTAACGTGTGACGGCACTCTCAGGGCTCTTGTGCCCCGATGTATCTCTCATTCTCCAGGGTGCTCTGCCTTATCATGCCAGGTGTTTGCCTTCTTGCACCAGGTGTTTCTTGCTTGCGGCTCCACGCCGCCGGCACCTGGATGTCGTTTGGCGCCAGAAACCCTGGGCCATACTGGAGAGGGGCGTGAAGTGTGTGTGTGTGTGTGTGGAGTGGGGGATGGAGGGGGAGGAGGAGGATGAGGAGCACCAGTGTAGACCCAAGAGGCATCAACGATGTTGGAATAAACCCTCCCTCCAAGCTCCCTCTTCATAGGCCCCTACACCGGTTCATTTCCATCGAGGGAACTGCCTCGTTGGAAGACAACTTTTTCAAGACCCTGCATCATGCCAAAACATTGTTCTCGGGATTCCAACGCCACGGATCAAATGGATTGTTGCGTGTTGACGATCCAGAATCGTGCGCGCCTGCGTAATCTTGAATCTTTCCAAAACACCAGTTCTGGTACGTTGATGATGGGAATCCGTGAAGCTCTGGTTGACTTTGAAACGGATGTGCGCGGCGCTCAGGCGAGAGCCACATTTTGAGAAGGAGCCGCCCTCAATCCGTGGAACTCTTGCGAATGTTTAAAACGAATGTGCGCCGCGCCAAGGCGAGAGGCACATTTTGAAAGCCACCCGCCCTCAATCCGCGAAACTCTTGCGAATGTTTATAAGGAATGTGCGCCGTACTTAAGCGAGAGCCATAGTTTGAAAAGGAGCCGCCCTCAATCCGAGAAGCTCTTGCACAGTTTTAAAACGAATGTGCGCCACGCTAAAGCGAAGACCGCATTTTGAAAAACTATCTTCCCCCAATCCGTGAAGCTCTTGTAAACTTTGAAAACGAATGTGCGCCGCGATGAAGCGAAAACCACATTTTGAAAACGACCCGCTCTCAATCCGTGGAACTCATGCAAATGTTTAAAACGAAGGTGCGCCGCGCGAAGGCGAGAGGCACCTTTTGAAAACTACCCGCCCTGAGTCCGTGAAGCTCATGCAAATGTTTAAAACGAATGTGCTCCGCGCCAAGGGCGAGAGGCACATTTTGAAAACAACCCGCCCTCAATCCGTGAAGTCATGCCATTTCTAAGCTTTAGAGTTATTGTCTGTGAGGACGTCTCAGGCGAAACGCCCGGCCCGCCCTAAAAACTGGCCTCGGGTTGAGACAGGGAGAAATTATTTTTAAGGAAGTGGATTGGAGGAGGAGAAGGAGGAGGATTTGGAGAACGAGGAGGAGGAGCAGGAGGAGGAGGAGGAGGACGAGGACGAGCCCTGGGGAAGAGGACATCCACGCGGAGCTCGCTGCGGCCATGTCCAAGGGCGCTCCCGCAGAGGCGGACCCCGGGCATGGAGGAGGGGGAATCCGATTCTTTGATGATTCTAGGCCTCCCAGATGGGGTCCAGGCAGATGGGGTCGGAGGATCGCGCCGCATCGCCGATGCATCGGCGATGCGGCTCGATGTGGAGCTCGATTTTCTCCGCGCCCACGTCGCCGATGCACCGCCGACGTCGCCAGGGCATCGCCGATGCATCGCCGATATTTCGGCGATGCATTGACGATTCGGCGCGATTCGCCGACCTCATCTAATTACTCGGACCTCATCTACCAGGCCTCTAGTTTCCTGCTTTCGCACAGTCTCAATCATGCTCTGAAGTGTGAGCTGGCGTCGCTAGTGCACAGACTTCACGTGGAAACTGGCAGGGCGCGGCAGCAGACGCGACATTTTGGCACGAACTCGAAGTTGAATTCTGCCGTGGCGACAACGACGACGCTTGAGCGCCGCGGCGTTGACCACCGAGCCCCCCCAGGGCCAAACCCACTTCAATGTGGAGTCCTATCCTGTCCTCCCTCCCACACTGTCCAGCCCCACCGCCCCCGTCACTCCTGGCCCCCCCCTCCCGTGGCGTGTAGAGAGCGCTGTGGCTGGGGGGGGAGCAGCGGCAACTATGCTTACACGTATGTATACTTGTTTTGGTTGTTCATTGCTCTCCGTAACCCGATCAATACTCCGAAATGCGACTTCAGCATCAATCGCGTTGGCTTGTCCACGATTCTTATTGGTTCGGGAACGGTCTCTCCTCTGCGGTATGAGTTAATATCACAGCCACATAATTGAGCGCGCGCGCGAATCACGCACAAGATTTGAGCACCTGCATGTGTATAGATGTGATCACATGATCACTTCCAAACATACTCCAACACACATTTTCGATTTTCGAAGATATTGGGATCGACGCCCCGAACTCCACGGCGATGATCAGAGAAGGAGGGGCCGTCCCACGTCGGTCCGCCCCCAGGGACCACGGTGACGTGCGATGTTGGAAAGGCCATGCAACGCGGAGTCCACTGGGCTGGCGACGGGCCGCTGCTGGCAAGCGACGGGGAAGTGTAGCCCAAGCTTCTCTTCGGTACGAACTCCGACAGGGTTGGCTCCCCATGAGGGCCAGCGGCCTTTCTTGCGTCCTCGTGCCCACTGCCCCGCCAGGAGTGCATCGCGCTGATTGAGCGGCGACTCCCGCTGGTGCGCCGCAGCGGGGCAGTCGTGGCTTGCTGGGCCTGGGAAGCCCAGCCAGAGAGCGTAAGGATGGGGTTGCGATTGATTTGGGCGAGGCGCACAAGAGCACTGGCAGAGGGGTACGCAGTAGGCGAGCGGTGAGAGGTCAGGCGGGAGGGAGGGAGGACACATGTTTTTGTGCGCGGCTGTGGCCAAAAGTGCATTCACGTGGGGCCAGCCATGCAGGTGTGAGGTGCCCAGAGAACTCATGCCGGCTTCTCACGGCCAACCCCTCCACCGTGCCAGTGCAGCATCGAGGTCCACGCACGATGGTTCTACGATGTCTCCAGAACAGGCTCAGTAGAAGCATGTCGGGGCAGTGTGGGACGCAGTAATACGATGCCGTAGCAAGTCGCGGCTGTCATGTTGCATGGTTGTCGCGTTGTCTCCTCAGAACCTCATACAGGCTTCTTGGACTCCAGGAAGCCAGAGGCTGTCTTTTTTTTCCAGAGTGCTTTTCGAGGCCTCTCTGGGGGGGGTGCCCGGGGGCTTCTTGGAAGCCTCTTGGGTGCCTTTTGGGGGCCTGTCCGGGGTCTCGTTGCCATGTTTGGACACTGTTCGGTTGAGCCATCTGGGGGTCGCCCAGGCTGGCCTTGGGGCAGTATTGTGGCCCTCTTGGGGCCGTCTTTGGCCGTCTTGACGGATTCGCGAGCCGTTCTTCGGCGGCGAGCCCCGGGGTGAAATGAGGAGGCGTTCTCAGAAGGCTCGGAAGTCCTCGCGTCGTGAAAGAATCACGACCGGACATTTTTCATTATTTTCGGCCTCCGGGGGCCCTTACCGGGCCTCGGGACCGTCAAAAAACGACTCGGGATGAAAAACCCGCCCCGGCCAATGGGTCCAGACCTCTGGGGGTCGACGTTGTGAACAAAATCACGACGTCGGGGGTCTGGGACAGGTGGGTGCTCATGCCAAGAAGCACCCTGCTTGCCTCCAGGGCGCCCTGGGTTTCTTGGGTTTCGATGGTTTTGCGATGGAAAGTGTGACGTTCCCTCACCAAAGACCGATGGACGTCCTGGGGTCTCAGGGTTGGGTTTCTTGAGGAGGGTTTCTTGTAGACTGGCCTTCATTGTATGCCTTCCCCGAAGACACAAGAAACTTCTGAAAAGGCCCGACGACTTCTGAGAAGGCCCGCCTCCTTCTGAGAAGGCCTTCACCTTCTCATTTTCCCCCCTAGCTCGCCGCCGAGTTCTGGGATCGTCTTCCTGGGTTCTGCGCGACCCAGAGCTGGTGCCTACCTTAGGCCTCTGGCGACGGGCCTGAGCCACGGAGCCCCCGCCCTCTGGGCCCCTTCGGCCCGCCCCGCGGCCAGATGCCCATGGACCCCCCTCTGCCCTGCTCCTTACCTGGACCCTCCCGCCCCCTCTGCCCTGCTCCTTCCCTGGACCCTGTTCGGGAACTGGAGCACATGCATTACTACCAGTGGCGGGCTGTTTTTCAATCCCAGGGCTTTTTGAGGGTCGGGGACGACGTCGGGGTGGTGTCGTGAATACTGCTTTCCCCCGTTTTCCCGGGGAAACAGTGAAACATGTACATACCAGGATCCCGTATACACCAGGATCCGTTTTCTTGTGCGAGTTCAGTGCGGGGCCAGAACAAGCGGCGGTGTCTAGAGTTCGGCTCCTTACATACCGCGCCCTCGGCTGGAAGGAGGGGATGGATAACAAGGGCACTTTTGAGGCAACCATCTTTGCCTGCAGTGAAGATCTCCGCTCTCGGTGAACAAGCTTTCGCCTTCAGTGAAAGTGTGTGTGTGTGCCTTCAGTAAGCAAACCAAGCTGCCTTCAGTGGACACTTTTGCCTCCGGTGGCACATTTTTGCCTCCAGAGAAAGGGATCAAGAGGGCAGCTTGACAGCGGCGACGCCTGCTCGCCCCGAGCCAGCTTGACGTGCGACTTGCTGCTGGATCGACGTGCCTGCACGGACCCCCCTCGCACAGGACAGCCACGAGACGACTGCGAGGCAGCCCTGGGACCTCCACTCACAGGACATCCGCGGGACAGCCCCACGGGGCAGCCGAGGGACCACCACGGGACAGACCGCGGGATACCCCCGCGGCCAACCGCGAGGCGTCGGACGAGCACCTTTTTTTTGCTGGAATTGGTCCTAGCCTTAAGTTGGGCCTGTCCCTCTACAGGGGGAATCTTCCAAAATAGCAAAAAAATAGCCTTGGGACAATGTTTTGAGTATTTTATTGTTCATTTTGGGTTTTTTGTTGCGTATGTTTTATTTCTTTGGCGAAAATCCCCCCGTTCACGCCCGACTTAACCCTAGCCTCGGCCGACAACTCGTCACCCTCGCTCAGCCTGGCGTTGTCCGCGCGCACGCACTGCAGAAACCAGCACCGACATCGAGGCCACATCGATTTCCCTTGTTGGGATATCATCGTTGTTACCCCCAGCATTCGGCACATGCATGTATTACACTCGTGTCTGCATGCGTATGCATGAGTGCACATAGCTTCCCAGACACACTTATTTTTATATATGTATATACGTACACACATATATGTATATATCTATATATCTATATATAGATATAGTATCATGCGCACCTATCCAAGGGATCCGAGCTCAGAGGCGAGTTCGCTTTGGAATCCTCAGACATCTGACTATCGGACGCGGCCCTCACGCATGTTGCGACGTCACGGTTCAGAAACACAGCCGTGCACATTTGACACATCCGCGACAATTTTAAACATCAGACAATTCAGCGAGTTTGCGCACGCCAGAAATGAGAGTGATTCTCGTATTCCGTGGAGCTCCCTATGGGGCCACGAAGCGCTGCACTGGGTGGGGGAAGCGCTTGAGGACACCGCCACTGAAATCTGCCGTGGAACCGTGGAACTCCCTATGAGACCACGACGCGCTGTGCTGGATGGGGGGGACCACATGCGGACACCGCCACTGGGGCCTCCGGTGGAGCCCCCTGTGGGGCCACGAAGCGCTGTGCAGGCTGGGGGCACCGCATGCGGACACCGCCACTGAGGCATTCGATGGACCTCCTTTGGTGGAACCGCATGCGGACACAGCCACTGAGGCCTTCGGTGGAACTCCCTGTGTGGCCATGGAGCGCTGTACTGGGTGTTGGGGTGGCGGCGCATCCTGACACCGTCACTGGGGCCTTCGATGGAGCTCTCCATGGGTCCACGAAGCGCTGTACTGGGTGGGGGAACCACATGCGGACATGGTGCCACGAAGCGCTGTACTGGCTGGGGGCACCTCATGCGGTAACCGCCCCTGAAACCTTCGGTGGAAATCGATATGAGGCCACGAAGCGCTGTACTGGATGGGGGACCGAATGCGGACACCGCCACTGAGGTCTTCGGTGGAGCTCGCTATGAGGCCCCGAAGCGCTGCACTGGGTGGGGGCACCGCATGCGGAAACCGCCACTGGGGCCTTCGTTGGATCTCCCTAAGTTCCATGAAGCGCAGTACTGCGTTGGGGGGGGCGCCTGCACACACCGTCACTGGGGCCTTCGGTGGGCCTCCTTAGGGGGCCACGACGCGCTGTACTTGATGGGGGAACCACATGCGGACACCGCCACTGGGGCATTCGGTGGAGCTCCCGATGGAGCCACGAATCGCTGTATTGGTTGGGTAGGGTGACCGCATGCGGACACCGCCACAGGGGCCTTCGGTGGGGCTTCCTATGGGGCCACGAAGCGCTGTACTGGCTGGGGGGGAAACCGCATGCGGACACCCCCACTGAGGCCTTCGGTGGAGCTCCCTATGGGGCCTCGAATCGCTGCACTGGGTGGGGGGACCGCATGCAGACACCTCCACTGGCCTTCGGTGGACCTCCCCATGGGGCCGCGAAGCGCTGTACTGGCTGGGGGCACCGCATGCGGACACCGCCCCTGTGGCCTTCGGTGGAGGTCCCTGTGGGGCCACGAAGCGCTGTACTCGTTGGGGGCACCGCATGTGGACACCGCCACTGAGGCCTTCGGTGGAGCTTCCTTCTTGGGCCACGGAGCGCTGTATTGGTTGGGGGGGCACCGCGTGCGGACGCCGCCATTGAGGCCTTCGGTGGAGCTCCCTTTGGGGCCGTCGAATTCGGACACCGCCCCTGAGGCCTTCGGTGGAGGTCCCTGTGGGGCCACGAAGCGCCGTACTGGCTGGGGGGGCACCGCGTGCGGACACCGCCACTGAGGAAGTGGTGGAGCTCCCTGTGGGGCTGCGAAGCGCTGCACTGGGAGCCGGGGGGCACCGCGTGCGGACACCGCCACCGAGGCCTCAGGGGTGGAGCTCCCTGTTGGGCCACGGGGCGTGCGAGCGGCGTGCCGACAGGGCGGGCACGCGGAGAGCAGAGGCACGGGCGGGGGCAGGGATGCGGGGGAGGAGGAAGGAAGGAACGCGGGACGTTGTCTCCTCAACACGAGGAGGAGGTGGAGGAGGAGGAAAAGGAGCGGTCGATGTCGTAACAACTTGGGTATTGCTGTCCGTCCTTATCTCTTCGTCCTGGGTGGGTCCTCGATCTCCTCTATTTCAGGGGCGCGCAAACTTGGATTAGCGATCCATCGATTTGGCGCGCGGTCACTAAATCCATGGATCGGGGGAGGAGCCCTTTCCAAAATGCGGCCGGTGCCGCCTCGTTCGGCGGCGGACATTTGCGATGTCAACGAATACGGGACCCGTCGCTAATCCACGCCCCCTTTGATCCATGTTTGCGATCGCCTGAACGAGAACCCAACACCACAGCATGGTTGGGAAACAAGGGAGTTTCGCTAGAGGCATTCTTGCGTCATGGAGCCCCGACGTACAACACACAGGACATAAACACCGCATAGCACAGGACATACACACCGAACACACACGACACACATCACATCACACACAATGCACATATGACACACTCACAACACATCAGACACAACACATTATCCTCACATCCCACACAAAGCACATACCACATAACATATATTACACACGCAACACACATACAACACACTCAGCACACACCCAGAACACACACACACCACACCCAGCATACACAACAAACAAATAACACACACAACACATTACAGACACACCATTAACAACACAAGCCACATAGCACACATAGTATAGAACACACAAAGCACACACGCAACACACACACACACATAACACCCATAATTCACCCAGCACGCACAACACACAACACACAAATGTGTACATATATATATATATATATATAACACGCACACCTCACACATCGCACACACACATCACACATCATACACACTCACCTACTCAACACAACCACAAGGCAGTGCGGCGCTCTTACAAGCAGTGCTCTTAGAAGCAGTATGGCGACGCGATTCGTGTTCGTGGCGTTCTCATAACTGCCCCTACTCTCTGAGAACTAGCCTACGCGACTAAAAACCCAGCATCCATCCCCCTAAGGAGTCGAGGGCACTGCGCTTCGGGAGTCGTTTTCTCCGGGGCCCGGTCTTGGGCCAGGGCAGCTGTCCCCCCGCACGCCCGAGCCGGTTGCCCCCCGGCATGCCGGGGACGTTGGGGCCGGGACCGGGGTCAGAAGCCCAGAGGCCATCGGGCAGTAGAGTGAAGTCGGGCCTGTCTTCACAGGGGGAATGTTCAAAAGTAGTCAAAGAAATAGTCTGGGGACTACTTTGGAGTATTTTTTGATTATTTTTGGGTATTTTTGGTGTATTCTTTATTTTTCGTCGAGAATCCCCCTGTAGGGGGACACGCCCGACTTTACAGTAGAGGGACATGAGGGTTGGGGAGTCCTGGGGCCTGGGCAAGGGGTCCGAGGCCAGAGCCCAAAGGTAATCGTGTAGCAAAGACGGGTGGGCGACGGAGAGAAACGGGTCCAATGGCGCCGACGTAGGCGCGTAAGCTCCCCGCGTGAGGTCGCGCTCGCAGCGGTAGCGACCGGCGTGAGTTATCGCGTCAGGTCGTTGTGTCATCTCGCGCAAGGCGTAGAACTCCTTTTTGATCGTCGCTCAAGTGTGTGTGTGTTGGGGACTCGTTGTCCGAGGCCGGGGCTGAAGCCGGGGTCGGATGCCGCTGGAGGCAGAACAACATGCTGCATGGCGCTGCCTGCTGCGCCCTGTTGCTGCTACGCTTGTCGTTGCCCCCCCCCCCAAGTTTTCGAAATCCGAACCTACCCTTCAGCGCCCGGCTCTCGGCTGTTTTTTTTTCTGCTGCTTCTTTGGCTTGTCCTTTCGTGTTTTTTTGTTTGTTCTCTCTTTCTCTCTCTCTCTCTCTCTTTCCCTCTCTCTCTCTCTCGCTCTGTCTCTGGGTCAGGGAAGAATGGCTGCGGTCATCAGCTGAAGCACGCAATGGATTGCGCCAGAGTGCCCAGTATTTGTTTCAGCCTTCCTGGCCATGATGTCTAACCACCATGCTTCCGAAACTGCGGGAACGAAATGCAAATGCTCATATAGATAGTAGTTGTATACGCATGTTTGCGTCTGCTTTTCACGGATGTATGACGAGGGCGTTCGGCGAGGAAGTCTTCTATTCTAAAGTCAGCAGGGGGTATGACTTTGCACGGGTGACATCGGCGTCACCCCAAACTTTTATATATCATATGTGCATCGCCCCCCCAGGGGCGACGCGCGCATCGAGAAATCTTAGTGCATATGCGTCGTGGCAGGCGCTTTCTGGCCACACCGTTCGGGACGCGATATACTACGAGATTGGTATACGTATACCATGTGAGCGGGTCGGACGCGCGCCCCCAAGGAGGACGCACAGTACTGGTCTGTCTCTGTGCGTCCCACGGCAAGGCGCTGCGGAGGCGACACGAGCTCGGGCTCACGCGCACGTGGTGCCCGCCGCACGCTCCGGCACCACCCGCCCCGCCCACGGGGTGCGGGGGGCCGCGAGGCGGACGCCGCGGCCGCCGCGTGAGCCGCGTGATGCCTGGCCCGGGGGGCGCCGCAGACCGCGGGGCCGAGCGCCGGAGGCCGCGGTCGCCGCCGCGGGACGCCGACTCCTCCCCGCGATTTTCTCCCGCGAGCTCCTCCCCGCGATCTCCTCCCGCGAGCCGCCCGTCTCCTCGCCTCCCCCGTGGATTTGTCTTTTTCTCCTGCGGGATGCCGCCGCCGCCGCGCATCCCCCGGGAGTTTGTGCCTCTCTCCCGGCGCCCTGCGGCTCTTGGGGCCGCCAGTGGAGGGGCACGGGAGGGAGGGGCTGGTCCGTCTTCCTCCCACCTCTTGCGGCCTCCTCCGCCACCCCCTCGCTTGTCTGCTACCTCCTGGCATCTCGCCTCCTTCTTCACAGTCACAGTCGGCGCGCACAGTGAGGACGAGCGACTTTTCCAAGGGCGCCCCTGCGTCCTTCCCCCTTCGGCCCATCTCTGTCCGCTTCCGCTGGCCGCGCCCCCCTCGCAAAGTGCCGACGTGGCCTTCCAGGGCCCTTGCAACCTCACCGCGCATCCTTGTGATACGGGCTGACTGTACACAATATGAATACTACCCTCCGCTCTCCCCCGAAGACGCTGGTGAGGTGTCCTGGCCACCCCCCTGCGTATGGCTTTTTGCACAGGATGCCGCCGAGTTCATGGTTTATGTGTTCTTTTCCAGTCCGAACGTTTCCAGTCCTTGCAAAATGTCGCTCCCGCTGCAGCGTTGGCTCCTTTTCCCCATTCTCGATCCGTCCAACTCTTGTTCCCGCTGTAGCGCTGACCTCATTTCCATCGTTTCGGCTCTTCCAAATCGTGCTCCTGCTGCAGCGTTGGCTTCGTTTCCGCGCTTCGAGTCTTCACATCGTGCTCGCACTTCCACTCTGGTCTCATTTCCGCGGTCTCGGTCCTTCGAAATCGTACTTCCTCTGCAGCGCTGACCTCATTTTGCGCTTTTCGCTTTCCAAACAGTCAAATTGCATTTCCTGTCCTGTGCCATGCCTGGATTTCCTTTGGCCTTGTTGTCGGACTCAGTCGCGTTCTCGACGCGATGCCATGCGTTGCATGCTATACCATGCATCGCGTACTCTCTCGGGATCTCTGCCCCGTTCGACATCCGACTGTGCGAATAGAGAGGATATGTACCCAATGGTAAGGGATGGAAGCGAGGGGCAGGACGTCAGATATGACACTTACGCACCTAGCCCGTCCCTCCTCTCCCTCCTGCCGTCTCCCTCCTGTCAGGTCGGATCCCTCCCGCCTCTTCATTGCTTGTGTTCCTTCCCCTCCTCCCTCACTTCTCCTTCCTCCTTCAAGGGAGGAAACACCTCCCGGACCGGACAACTGGCGTTCACTAAACGGCCCTGGGCGTTTACTAAAAGCCTTGCCCTGTTGGATTCCTTGCTTGGGTGCGTTTACTAAGCGGCTTCGCTTGTCGGGGTGATTCTTATGGGGGTGGATTTTCTGCCCTCTACTCCTCCCCCGCCCGCCTGCTTCCAAGCTGAGTACCTGGGATCGCTTGTAGCTCGTGAGTCCCCAGAGCTCGTTCCGAACGGTGTTTTTTTGGCGATGTCGTGGACCGTTTTCTATTTGGTTTCGTCTATGCAGCAGAGGTGAAACGACGACAGAGCGATGGAAGACAATTACTCCAGATTTCGTAATAAAAGGGAGGGGGTCTCAACCCTCCCAGACGAGAAGTTTTAGACCCCCCCCCGTGGGAGAACCCTCCAAAACATCGTCCCCAGACCCCCCAGGCCCTCCAAGATAGCCTGGAAGAGACCCCCCCGGAAATGAGACCCCCCTCCCTTTATACAAAATCTGGAGTACGTTACCGAGGAACTCCACATACTCATCGTAATCCTTCTGTATTCACTCGGCATGTGCGTCGCATCTTGAGTTGTGCACGTGCAGCGTGAATGTTTCTCATATTGTCATCCTACGCGCCTTTGCTTGATCCTCTTCCCTCCTCCCCTTCCCCCAGTGGCGCAAGATGCCCTTCCCCCCTTCCATCCTGCCGAGTTCTCCCTCGCACCCCCGTCCCTCCCATCCTCCTGTATTAGATGCTCGTTTTGGGACCTGCCTTGGGCCCACCTGACGGATCTGTTCGACCCCAGTTCGACTCAAAGTTCGATTCAAGTTTGATTCAGGTTCGACTCAGGTTCGACTCAGGTTCGACTCAAGATCAACCCGAATCGACGGACGGACGTTCGGCGCAGCGTCGACGCACGAGTGGAGCCAGTGGCTCAAGGAAGGTCCCCAGAATGAGCAGCCGACCCGACAATTTTGTTCCTCTCGGATGTTACGCGCCTCTCCCGTCATTTCTTCGACGCAGAGTCTCCGAGCTGCGCGCGCGAGGACATGGCAAGCGAACGCAAGCCGTCGGCACACAAGCAGCGGGAGCGCCCTTTGATGGAGCATCTCTCTGGGCTACGGCCGGCACGGAGAAGTGACAATGTGCGGGCACCGCGAAGTCGGCTGGGAGCGGCGCGAGCAGCGCGACGGCCACGAAGTTGCACAGCTCTGGCCTTGTCGGAACGACTCGGGCGCCGCGGTCCGTCAGAGCAGCATGGGCCTTCCAGGTGGAGCCATCCACAGCTGCGGGTGGACCCAACTCATCTCCACGGCCACTATCAAGGCGCATCGGCTCGTACACCCCGACGACCTTCGGCAACGCGCAGCGGGGGGTTAGGGGGAGGGGGGAAGGCTTCTCAGAAGCACCCCTGCTTCTTAGAAGGCGCGGGCCTTCTGTATAGACGTAAGGCCGAGGCCTTCTAAGAAGCAGGGTGCTTCTAAGAAGACTTCCCCCTCCCCCTCCCCCCTTTTGCGCGCCGCCAAGACCTCGTGCCGACGGCCTTACCTCCTGGCATCCCAGACGCCGAGGGCCTCGAGCTCCTTCGCCTCCCGGGCCACGATGCCCACCGAGCCTCCGGGGAGGGCGCCGAGCACGGACATGGAGGCGGGCCCTTCCGCAAGAGCTCCTTCCGGCGGCGGCCACGGCAGGGCCACCTCTCACCATCCTGGAGCACATCCCTATCCCCATGATTGGCTTCGCCTCATCTCGATGCCGATCTTGGGGACTCCCTCCGTTCGGGCGCATCCCTGAGACCGTCGTCGACTTTTGGGCTGCCAATCCTAGGGGTAGGGATGCGTTCGGGGCTGGCTCACCTCGTCCCTGCAGGGTGGCCCCCGCGTCGGGGAGGAGCCGAGGCCCGTGGCCGCGGCCCGCCGTGGCCAGAGGAGGGCCCGTTCTCGCTCCCCCCTCCGCGCTCCTTCCTCGGCACCGCGGCGGCCCGATCTCCGGGCCCCCCTCGGAGCCGCCTCGTGGGCTTCGGAGGCTCGCGCCGCTCTCGCCCTCCCCCCCCCCTCCCACAGGCCAGCCACGACCGGGGGAGCTGTGGTCCTTACCCTCCTGGGGGTCCCATTGGTTTCGACACCCCTCTCGAGAGATCGTCGATGCGATGGGTTCCCCCAGAGGGGGTGAGGACCACAGCTCCCCCAGTTATGGCTGGTCGGACCCACCCCCTGTCCAGCCCCACGGAGTGGGAAGTCTTCTCAGATCGGAGAGAAGGGTGTTGAGGGAGGAACCGACCGAAACCACCTGCGCCCAGAAGGCGGGTGGGATCCACCAGCTCGGGCGTGCTCTTTTGCAAGATGCCGAGGTTGCGCGCGCACCTCTTCAATGCCTCTCTCGCTATACTCCGTGCTGCTACCCTCGCCTGACAACAATGACATCTGGCGAATACGCTGCAATAATCAACTTCCGCCCCCTCCATGTGAAAAGCAAAGCTTCTGTTTTTGTCTGTGAAGGCTTGCGCAGCTGCCGCCCTGTGCTCAAATGTCTGAAGCCACATCGCATAACAGCTTCCGTGTGCAAGTGGTATCGATCGATGCGATCATGATGTGCAAGTTTGCACTCTGAACTGGCTTACGTTGCTCATGTGTTGGTTCCGTGCCCTTCTCAACCCTGGTGTCCCAGGGTTGCCCGGTGGCGGGGTCGCACAACGATGGCCCATCTCTACATATCGTCTCGGTGTTCCGTTGGTGTCCTATCATTGTGCCCCATCGCTTTGCCATTGGTAGTGGGTGTTTCGGCTGTCATGCCGCTCCCTTTTTGTAGCTTCGATGTGCGTTCGACCGGCACGCGAAACAAGAGGCGCAACAGCACACGAGCATGCAACGCCAGGGCATGGCGCGCGACGGATTATTGCGATGGTGGCGCGTTCTGTGTGTGTGTGCGTGTGTGCGTTAGTGTGTGTTTGTGTGTTTGTGTGTTTGTGTATGTTTGTGCTGGTGTGTGTGTGTGTGTGTGTGTTTGCATGCTGGAAATAACCCCTTCCATGACTGCGTGAGCATGAGTCAGGGGCCCGCTGATATCCTTTGCAATTTCCATTATCCGCCAACGCTGATATCCAGAGCATCATCCGAACCATGCGCATGTCGTGATCATCGCCGCTGGTGGATGTGTTCGAAATGGTGAGGCGGATGGTGGGTAAGAGGAGGAGGACGAGGAGGAGGAGGAGGAAGAAGAACAAGAAAACGAAAAGGAGGAGGAGGAAGAGGAGGAGGAGAAGGAGGACGAGGAGGAGGAGCAGGAGGGGGTGGGGGGGAGGAGGAGGAGGAGGAGGAGGAGGAGGAGGAGGAGGAGCAGGAGGAGGAGGAGCAGGAGGAGGAAGAGCAGGATGATGCTGATGCTGATGCTGATGCTGATGATGGTGATGGTGATGGTGGTGATGAAGATGAATATGAAGATGAAGATGAAGATGAAGATGAAGATGAATATGATAATGATACTGATGATGATGATGCTGCTGCTGCTGCTGCTGATGATGATGATGATGATGGTGGTGGTGGTGGTGGTGATGATGATGATGATGATGATGATGATGGTGATGATGATGATGATGGTGATGATGATGATGATGAGTGTGATGATGGTGATGATGATGCTGGTGATGATTAGGATGATGAGCATAATGATGCTGCTGATGATGACGATGATGATGAGGATGGGGATGATGATGTGGATGAGGATGATGACGTGGATGAGGATGATGAGGAGGAGGAGGAGGAGGAGAGACGGAGGAGGAGGAGTCTGACAATATGGGGCAGTTCCCTTCACGTTGCCCACACCAAACCCGCAGCCATTGTTGGCCCCCCCAGTAGCGCTCATTGGCAACTGGCACGTGCCGC